GATTTTGCTGAGCTCAATACAGTTTTAGATTAAAACAAAAATAATTCAGCAGCGGGAATTGATGGCATTGATTATGAAACAATAAAAAAACTCCCAATCAAATACAAGCTGCTGCTCCTTGATACTTTCAATGAAATCTATTCAACAAGTTGTTATCCCGAATCATGGAAAAAGTCTTTTGTCTTATTTATTGATAAACCTAATAATAGATGTGTTAGACCCATCTCCTTAACTCCAAGTCTGTGCAAACTTTTTGAATCTTTAGTAAAAAATAGGATTGTGAACATTACGAAATCCTTCCTAGCAGTCAATCAGGTTCTAGAAAAGGAAGGTCCTGTACTGACAATATAGTTGAGTTTACACTTAAAGCACAACAAGCAATAAAAAATAAGAAAGATTTAATTGCAACTTTCCTTGATGTGCAAGCTGCATATGATAACGTGCTCAGTGACTTACTTTTGGACAAATTAGCTGAAATAGGGTGCTCTAAACTACTAGTCACGTTTATTAAACATATCACCAGTAATAGAATGATTTTCTCTGATTCTCTTAAAAAGGAGTTTAGACTCAGTCACAAAGGAGTTCCACAAGGTGGTGTTTTGAGCCCATTGCTGTATTTAATCTATGTAAGGGATATTACTGAGGGCGTTCCTAAAACTGTAACTATATCTCAATTCGTCGACGACATTGTAATGTACTGTAGTTATGGAAATGTTGAAAAGTCTAAATCCCTTGTTCAAAAAGCAGTTAATATCACAAATGCAAATTTAGGTAAAATCGGTTTGGGATTTGAACCTGACAAAACTGCCTTTCTTCACATAAATAGTAAAAGAATTAAACCTGGCGAAACAGTCCTAAATCTGTGTGGCAAGGACATTGTCTCGTGTGAGTCAATCAGATTTCTTGGCATTGTTATTGATTATAAACTCAGTTTTATACCACACCTAAACTCAGTTGTAGCAAAATGTGCTACTAGATCCAACATTCTAAAATTTCTGTGTGGCGTCAAATGGGGTTCTCATCCAAGCACTCTATTAATCTTATATAAAAGTTTTGTTCGTTCTATTATTGACTACTGTAGTTTTGTTTATTTCCCGACAGCCACTATTCATGTTGAAAAATTGGAAAAAGTCCAAATTGCTTGCCTAAGGACTACCTTAGGCCTCAGGAGAACAACCCCAAATAATGTCGTACTTGCGGAATCCAAACTGCAGTCAATTCAAGAACGCTCAAAAAGTTTGGGTAAATGCTATTTCACCAAAATTCTGTCCAATTCTATCTTACCTTCCTTTCAAACTATCCAGTCCATTATTCACAATAAAAATGGCAATAGAAACACAATTAAATTAAATGAGAAACCTAATCTCTTAAAACAGTGCATACTGGATGTTACTGATCTTAATATAAAAGCGCACAAGAACTATAACATTTATTGTTTTGATTACAATGTCCTTAAAACAAGCCTAAATGTTAATTACGACCTAGGCAAGCACATGAAAATAGCTAAAGATCCAAATACAATCTTAAATGCGTTTCTCAGGGAAAACAACTCCCACGTAGTGTTCACAGATGGCAGTAAAACAAATGACCAAAGCAGTCATGTAGGTTCTGCTTGCTTTTATGTCAATACAAATAAGAAATCTGGTCAAGCCCTACCAAAAGATACGTCAATTTTTACTGCAGAATGTTTTGCCATTGGAAAAGCTTTAGAATCAGTTAGAAATAGTCAAGTTGCCAATTTCGCGATAGTATCTGACTCTCTAAGTGCGCTCCAATGTCTAGGATCAGCCAAAGTTAGTATAAATTTAAATTTTTATATTCTCAAAATAAAATACGAATATAACAAAATTATGGCAAAAAATCCAAGCAAGAATATAGTCTTCGTATGGTGTCCATCTCATATTGGCATATTGGGAAATGAGGCTGTCGATGAATTAGCAAAATCTTACACAAGTAAAACCCCTACTCCTAACTTTATAATTCCTTTCACTGATTTTTCGCAGAAAATTAAAAAAACTTCATATATTAATACTAATGATTACTGCTTAGAACAATCCATCTATAAAGGTTCCAAATATTTCAAAATTTTTTACAATGACTCGCCTAAAACTTGGTTCCACAAATCTAGAGTAAATCGTAATATTACAGTATCAATAATTAGATGCAGAGCGGATCACTACAATCTCGCTACCTCATTGTTCAGGGTCAATATCGTAGATGATCCAATATGTGCTGCGTGCGGTGATTATAATGAGGACCTAAATCATGTTTTATGGCAATGTGATATTTACAACGATCAAAGATTAAATTTAATTAAGAATATTTGCAGAGGAAAGACGTTATTACCGCTACACGTACACTACCTATTGTTTTATCCCAACTCTACTGCTTGTGAGCACATTGTTAAATTCTTAGATGCGATCGGTCGACCAATTTAGTTATATATCTACTAAGGAAATAATATGTAAATATTATTCTATGTATATGTAGTTTATCTTTAATAAAGGATAGCTGATATAAGGCTCCTACAAGCCTTGAAAAGCTCAAATTAAAAAAAAAAAAAAGGATATAGGTCGTAGATGTACTTTACGAGCACAAAAGACATTCGTATCGAAATACACGATATGCACTCGGAAACCGCACCCTAAGCTTGGGAAAAGGTTATAGATAACTAAATTATGTACCATCAAAAGAGTTGCAATAATTACCAAAGGCGCTACGGAAATTGACAACGTGAATTCTCCTCAACGGTGATTAATTGGGGTAGCACAAGTTAATGGATATTTTTTCGGCGTCCCACTGAGCAAACCAAATCGGGAGTTCTCGCGGTAGTAACAGTCATAAGCAATTTGGATTTTGTTTCCCACAAACAAGATTTTCTGCTCTCGTTTCGTTAAAATCTAAATATCGAAAGCTTCAACTAGCAGAAGAACTCAAAGTCGCTGTTTCCAATATAGAACCCAACTGAAATAGGTTGCATATTATTTCATTATTTCTACTGCTCCCCCATTTAACGCATCACATACACTAAAATATTGCGAAAACGGATTTATTAATAGGGATTAGTAGGGAAGGGTTTCGCTAGAGCTGTATTGACTGTTATCTATGCTGATTTTACAATAAAGTTCAAGCACAACAAAACATTTAGGAGAATTACTGCTGATAGAAAACTCTACAATCTAAAATTTTGCAATTTGCGAACTCGTTCCGGGAATTATGGTAGCAGAGGTGGAAAACTTTCAGCGTATGCAAATAGTTGCCGCAAATAAGGAGCTTTGGGCGGTTGAGTAATAGACAGTCTCTGAACAGTTTGAAATTAGTCTTTTGATGTCGATTGAAACGTTTTGCCGATTATTTAATGTACATTTCTATTAATAGCATTTTCATTTTAAATAATGGATGCCTACGGGTTTTGGAACAGTCCATATGAAAAGGCTTTAAGCCTCTGAGAGATTTCCAGTCCGTGGCCGTGATTCCAAGTCTCAATATCAAATACACCAGATGAATTTTTTCAACACGAAGGTCCAAAGAAGACAGGTGAGTTCCCCACCGTTGCCCCTTACGACGTGCAGTAGGGTTATTCTCATTCCCACGCCTACCTGGATAAAGAATGTAGGGAAAAACAGAATTCTATGGAAAATGCTCAGATATAAACCTACCGGAAACTATACGCGAAATACTTTACCATTTACACTAAAAATGTGATATTACAATTATCGGGTCTATAATAATTTGATTTTTTATTTCTGAAAGAGAATAAGTTTACCGCTTTATTAATTTTTTTCACCAACAGGTACCAAACAGATTACAACTGTCACATTAAATGACAAAAGAAGCTTGACAACACGTATCAGGTTGGTATCAGACACCAATTTTCCTTTAGGCTCGTTCTCCACCTTTGGATATAGCTTCTAGCACAATTTATTGCTATGTGTCGATTTAAAGAAATTCTTAGGAATGCGTAGCATTTCTGTGGATTCCATAAGAAGATTTTCAAGAAATTTTATTCTGAGAAGAGAAAGACTTATATTTTCTTGGTGCCGAGCCTAATTAAAAACAAAATTTTTGTGATCAATAGTATTATAATAATGACTTATACTTTAAAAGCGAAAGCTCTTTCATCTATGGAGATTGACATCCCTTGCTGGAATTGTATTACTAACTTCATAGTTAGAATTCGTACAATTGCATAGGTATTATATGGTGATGCTATTTCTAACTTTATAACAACAAATTTTTTCTGGGAACTAGGAAGAGTTCTGGCCAGATTTCCATAGCGCGTTCGCACCTCCAGTGCGATAGGGTGCAAAAATTAAGAGTTTTGTATTTTGGTAAAATCATGCCTGTAATCCCTTCTAAAAATGTTGAAGACGAAAGTCACGAAGTACACGAAGGCGCTTCTTTCATCCCCTAAGATGTCACTTGCTGAAATAGTTTAGTTTGTGTAAAACATTGCATGCTCATGCTTCCAAAGTTTGTGGTTGTAGATTGTGACAATTATGGATATTGGAGGAAGTTGCACTATAGAAGTCTTGCAGATCAAAGGAATTGTTAAAAATACGTAGACTACATAGAAGATGGAGAATCGATGCTGGTAATTAGTATTCCAGACTCAAAAACTAAAAGTCAAGAGTTTTTACCATTGCTGAGGCGGTGAAGAACTCAGATATTTGGCATTATATAGGAAGCGTTGGATGTACAAAAGAAATACTAATAATATTTCCCAAATGCTCCCGAAAAGCTTCGGAAAACTCAATGAATATTTCTAAGAAGATTACTAAAACTGGATCTAAAGAGTTTTTCAAGAATTCTAGCAATACAGGGTGTTACCAAAGTTGTGGGCTGGCTATATGCAGCCGGATTTTATGACTAAAAATAAGAAACAATGTTTAAAAAACATATCGTCGTAGTCGTAGACAGCAAATTCGCAACACACCAGGAATTTTTGAGCACATGAGGAAATACATGATCCTATGAGCTCAGGTGTTTATTATAAATATTTTGCTGCAGCGCAGTAACGAATCTCTTTAGGAGATATGTTTATTTAATCTTTTTGCTTATGTTTCTAACACCCGCCTGTAATCTTTTTTTAATCCGACCCTTTAAGTGAGTATAAATACCGGTAGCTAATCGGATGTATTGGAGCAAATCTCGTCTGATTGTAATATTGTGTGTAAGACGTCAGAGAGTCTGGCAATTAAGTAAAGAAGTTTTAATTATTGGATGTTATCACCCGGAGTACATCGGCCGGCTGGAAATTCCTATGTCCCCGTTCCGTATTTTGGGAATTCTATAGATAAAAGGTAACAGAATGATTTAGAGGGGACCTTTTTATTTTCTTTGTTTCATTTTCCCGTAGCTCGTAGATACCGTCAGTTAATTTGTGCTTCCGTTCCGATTTGGGAAATACGTCCCGTGTGCCGTAATTTCTTTATTGCCAAGGCAAAATTACAAGTACTACAACTATTTTACTTTAAAGGGCTCTGGAAAAAGTCCACGCATGGTCAAGAAGCGTGGGTATAATTTTTCACCTCCCAAAACCACAGAGGACACAACTCTCAACAACCCAATATAAATCTAAATGGAATCCCACTGTAATCAGTCTACCACACATTCTTACGAATAACATTCGATAAATGTCTTACATGGAAACAACAGACACAGAATACAAAAGGTGAATGTTTCAAACGCATAAATATAATCTAGTCCTTAGCACACTATCATTGGGGAGCGGAAGAAGAACGCAAACAAGTAAGAATTTACAGTTTTGGCTCATTCGAAATTAGACTATGGAAGCATACTGTATGTCGGCCAGCCCATCTGAACTAAAATGCCTTAAGGCCATGGAGGCTAAACACTAAATTACATCAAGTCCAAGCCAACATCACTCCAGCCAAAAGACCACCAATGTAAAGAAGAGACAAAATCATCAAGAGAAGACTTAGGATAGATCATACTCGTTTTTCACATAGATATCTAATGGCTTCCGAAAATCCCCCTGCCTGCGATACCAGATTAACGATAAAGGATGCTCTTTTACAATGACTTTTTGAAAACAACAAACCTATATTGTATTTATAAGTATTATTATTATTAAACGTGTCGATGGCCATTGTTCTCTGCCATTCGACTTTAACATCCAAACAAAGATTAATAATTATTGAAAACGTAGTATCTAATTATAACAATTTTCTGTTGTTATGTAACATTTCCTTGTACACTCATTTGGCTATTGTAGTAGGTATATACTCGTAATATCCGACTACTCACCACATGGGCTGCCCTATGTAGGTAAACCACATCTTAAAATAATTCTTAGTTTACACGTTTAACAACCAATAAAGTAAGCTCTTCACATATTCGATGGTAACCAACTATACTCTTACAAGTTCATTCATTTTATCCGTGACCCGAATGTGCTGTTTTTGGTGAATAAGTTACGAACACCTGATAATAGTGTGCAAAATGAGCAATGGTGCCCTGTGTTAAAACTGGAAAGTAGAGGAGTAGGGTGCCAACGATGTGCAGCTCCGTTGTATGTGATCAATATTTCGTTACGCCTTTTTTGACCTATGAACGTTTCAATAAAAACTCACTGTCTACAGTTACGATATGTATAGCCACAGATTTAAATATACTATTTAAATCTGTGGTATAGCAATGTACTGCATCGCGGTTTTTTCGTGACCTCCGACCTGGTAAATACTACACTTACAAGAAACGGAGATCAATCGTTTACGTCTTGGGCAACAGCTCCAAATCGTGTTATCTGGACATTAGAACGCTGCCATTATTCTTTACCGTCTACGTGCGACATTGGTTTTGCGATAAGCTTGGAATTTCGCAGCCGGTGCGTAAAAAACCAGTTTCCCCCCCCTCGCATATATTTAAGCAACAGATGACCAACGCTTTGTTTATTACGGCTCAGCTTCTGCTAGTATCTTAACAAAATGAAGGCGACGGCGATATATTTCCTATGTAAGTAATTGACCGGCATTATTATTAAAAAGATTTATTCTGTATTTTAGGTGCGCTAATCTTGTGCCAAGTAGTGTCCATTTTTTCACAGTGGGACTGGAACACCGCAAGGGGTTTTCAAAATTCTCGCCGTCAAGGTCGACAATTTAATTTTGGCAATAATTTCGACTATGAAGATCAAAATGCTAATAATCAAAACCAACAAACCAATAATAACAATGGCAATGTTAACCCTGCAAACTACGACGCATGCTTCCGAAATTGCCAATTGAACGTGGTAAAGGAATTTAACCCTGTTTGTGCATCCAATCAGATTACTTACGACAATCGTAGGATACTAGGGTGCGCACAGCGGTGTGGATTACGTAAGTCATATCCGCTTGTATAGGGGCACATTTTAATTTTTTTTTTTCGTTTAGAAATAACGGAGATATCACAAAGTACCTGTCAACCATCCGCCGGGGGAAAGTAGATTTAACCGCAGTGTAAAAATTATTTATTTTATGTGAGTTGCGTAAGCTTTGGTCGTTTTTTGATAAGCACGTGTTGGTTTAAATCGCAGAGTGATATGCTTGGCGGTGTGACTGTCAATTCTAATGAAGTATTATTGTATAAGTTGTAAATTAAATATTCATTAAACAGATTAAGCAAACTATTTCCTGTTATCCAAAAGTATGGACCCCGAGATATGAAATTCTAAGTGTTTGTTCCTACATAATACAAGCCAACATTGAAGTCTAAAAGACCGAAGTAACTGTTGTAGAACTTTTCCCAGCCTACGACACTATTTGTTTATTAAAGTACATTTTATGTTATTCTCTGCGAAACCAAACAATTAATTTTACCCAAAATGGTCATGAAACCTTCATTATGATGCCTACTTTATGTCAAAAATTTTTAGTTTCCATGACAGAGGCAGACCAGACTACTAATCTGCCGCCTGAGGCATGACACTTTACCGGCCACACCTGTTACAGATTGACATTAATCAAAAGTTCTATATGAAAATTGAATTTTATATTAAAAAAGATGATTTCGGGTAAATAAAGTGACACTACTTCACTCAGGAGTTTAAGTACTCTGTCCTCGTACTCCAATATCCCCTCGCAAGTAATGTGGCATTTTCATGACTTATGTAAATATCAATTGAGTAGAATTTTAAATCGTTGAAAAGGATCTGTGTTTGATCTAGGGCGCGTGAAGCTATCAGAACATTGGCAGCATCGGACTACGTGGATTGCTTAGTGCTAAGCCGTAAAAAGTTAGCAAAACAAACCATTTGGAAATGGAAGTAGTTTCGATTTTTAGATGTTCTGCTAACTACGCACACTTTTGTCGGTACAAATCTCGGTAACGAAAAGTCGTAGGAAGGCGTGCGAGGTATCGTCGGAAAGGTCTCGGCGGCGCGGTTAGGATGGGTCGTGTTAAGTTTCGGCGCTATTGTAGGATTTTCCTTAGTTTGCGTGCACGTCATCGATGCATTATGATGTCATCACTAAGTATGTTTACATAGCTAACATAGCATCATGCAATCAATGGAAGAGAATACGTAGGTCTATAGGCAGCCCTCGAGGCAATGCTGCATTGTGGGTAGAATACCTTAACGACTTCTACTGACCAATTACTAAAAAAAAATGTTTTGATAGTTATTTGTAACAGGTTGTCTATGTCATGATCTTTTACTAACAAGGTGGGCATTATTATTTGGACGTAAAGGACAAAATGTAAAAGAATCATTTTAATTGTTTTTACGTAATAGTAACGCCCGCAATAAAGAAGTTGAGAAGCGACTGCAATTTTGACTTTACCCCATACTCACGAGCAGAGCCACCGTTACTTATTCATGTCCAGAAAAATGCGGCACTTTCGATTTTCGGGTAGCAATCGGGGTTAAAACTGGCGGTTTTTTGATACACAAATGGGAAAGGAAATTGAATAAACAAAATTTTGTGCGTAAGAAAAGACGAGAATGATTTCGTATAAAATATATTACACACACAACCAGGCAATGTCAAAGACAACAAAAGTAACGGACAATCCACTTCCGCCTAACTTGTTCGCCGATCTTCCTCTTTTCGTCCTGGTAAAAATCGTACCACAGCCTTTTTACCGAGGACGTGTTCCTTTTGGATCTCCACATGAATTTTGAAACACCGCAGGCGCCCTTCACCAGCCATTTTGTTGACTTCAAATCTTGAGGTCGACATCTGAATAAACCGGAAAACATTAATCTGAATCATCAGTTACAAAAATATCATCTTCCAAATGAATTATTAGTATGGTGGTCATTCTAGGAAATACAGAAACAATAATTCGTGTAGTTCCAATTTGTTTGGGAATGTGTGGTTGAAGATACCCTGATGTTCTGAGCAATTTCGGTGCCGCCGGAGACTGAAGGTACAGTTTTACAGTTTTTCTGCTATATCCCGAAAATGGGAGCTGGTAGGAAAAAATTTTCTCATCAAAATCAAAAGCTCATCAAATTTTCTACAGCTTTGTTTCTATGCATTTTTCCAAAAATCTTTTCCAGGTGCGGGCTCTTGAAGGTGAACAATTTTAAAAAAGCTCTCGTTTTCGGTCGAACTTTTGCTCTAGCTCTAGGGGATGGTGGTAGGGAATTCAATTTCCTTCAAGAATCAATGATATGTGTGGCGTTTGCGCTTCGGAAGTCCGACTTTCCCTACAACAAAAATGAAGTGAAATTTCATGAGCGCAGATAATGTCCAATTCAGATATTCGTACAATTCCTATCCATGGGTATCGTCTACGTCCCCTTCATCTTCTACTAGCATTGGCGAAGAGTTAAACAGCTTCCTTGGCAGTTGGAGCAGGTATGGTACGTAACATGCCAGCCCACCCACCCCACCCACAGCTAGCCCTGCAGTTGGTAGTCGAACGACGGCAAAAAATGGCTTGTAAAATTTCCTCTGGGCTTGCGTAGGTGTGTTCCTTACTGGGTGAAGGTGTCACCTCTTCCTCTTTTCCAACTCCATTGTTCTGGGGGGAGTCATTTCTCCAGTCACAGCTGAACTTGAACAATTTTGTTGTTGTTCTACTGCCAGATGCAGAACTAGCTGTGGATGCAAGAAGGCTGGCATATTTTATACATTACCTGTGCCAACTACACGAATTTTTTCTATTTGCCGTTTTTTGGCATAGAATGACTGGACCAAAGGCTACATGCCACCAATCTAATAGTTATTTATATAACAGTCAGGAAAATGATACATTACTACATACATCAGGTAATGTCATTTTAGTGACGAGTTTTGTGTTAAATTTTACCCGAAATCGTATTTTAATATAAAATTTCAATTTTCATATAGAACTTTTGATTAATGAGTAAAATATTATAATCTCCCCAGTAACTTCTCCGACTCAAACTCAAACAATTCGGTTACATTTCTCCAAATTGCAAATAGTGTTTAAAAATGTCAAGATGTTCAACAATTTATAATAAAGGAAAATCGTATTCTATTAACAATAGTTGTTCCGTTAAACAAAATAACAAAAAATATAAAATCTTACTACCTATTAGGCTTTCGAATGGATAGGTTTTGGTAATTGCGCACGGTACGTACTTCTTTTTGGACTAATCAGCAGCGACCAGGAGAGGATACCGTTATTCCTGAAAAAAGAATAACTCAATTCAAGCCTGGTTCAGGGCTCTCCGTTCATCCATTATGGAAAAAGTTACGCGACCATGACTTACTTAAGCCGCAGTTCTGTGCACATCTGAATAACCTTGGATTATCATATGTAAATCCATTCGAGCCGCATAGAGGATTGAATTCTTTCAGAACGCGCGATTGACAATCATTGTAACATACTGTAAATGTTGCAGCATCAACTAAGCCTGGTTGAGCATCGACGTCGTTTGGTGTTGGCGAACTGGTTGGTTGAGCCGGTCGCATGTCTTCATCATCCTCAAATATTATGGCTTGTGAATGCGTAGAGGTTATTTGACAGAAACATACAACAGCTGCAACTAATAAAATGGTTCACTTAGCGTATGGTTAAAAAATACTTGCCTATACAGGTTGATGACCAAGTTTTCATTTTCGCCCTAGAATATGGTCAGTACCCTATGTAGTTTTGGTACAGAATAATATTTTCAATTTAATCTACCAAACCAAGTCAAAGATCAAGTTACGTAAACTTATCACTTGGGATTCAAACATTAAAAGTATATTATGCAGATTAATTTAAATCGCTACACTGCTACTAGAAGAGATGGTCCGGTTTTTCCTTTAAATAGTCAACAACACTTACGGCTGGATAACGTAAGAAGACTCAAGGTTACAGCCTTGTTGTGACGTGCAATACCGAAACAAGACTAACCTGTCGAGGTGAAAAACGTGAATAATGGGATGGGATCCCCCAAACTTGTCAAGGAGCTCTTGCACTTTGTTAATATGTGATTACTAAATTCCAGTGTAGGTCAAACACTCACCTTCCGCGACAAAGTAACTACTACATGCAGTCTGTCGTAATTCCAAGGTCGCCACTTTACGTTTTCGGTTTTTCCTACAAAGTTGTTACTTAAAGAAGTGACCTTGGATATACTTGTACACCTACTGATAAGTATAAAAAAACTTTTGCTATAGCAGCAGCGGCGGACGTGCCTTTGATCATGTTGAATTCGTGCAACCAACTTGCGTCACAGAAGTAGTTTGGTGTACGAAAGATAAAACGTATCTCCTCTGTCCTATGGTATGCAAAAAAGTTTCATATGGAAGCTGGAATACGAAGAAACCTATGGGTACACGCCACTCCAGTATTCGAAGCAACCTCTCCACCGACCTGAAAAGTGTAAATCTGGTTACCCTCTCAAAACAGGAAACAAAGAAAGTAGTAACTAATAAAATACTTTCATAGTACAAATTCCATAATTTGAACTATCGGATTTAGGTGCTGCTGTTTTACTGGTAATGCAATCATGTATTCCAACAACAAAGTCCCCATAGCTTACATGTCAAACAGTTAGGAGGATTCTTGTAAAATTGTGTATTTAGGTCACTTGCCATAACCTGAAGCAGGTCATTTTTGTATGGGAAGCACTCTGAACACCTCATAAATTTAAAGTGGCGATCATTTTAAAATGGCGAATCTAATTCCACATTTTCCAAAATATCTTTTAAAATTTGCCGTAAATCAAAAGTTTTCGTACCTGTCTCGAATATTATGGGGCATTACATTTCAGACAGCTTGGTGTAATACAACAAAATACATTGATATACAAACAATTATTGTGAGTGATCTGCCATAAATGCTGAAGCAGGGCTTTTCTAATTTCGGATAATTTGGAATTAAGTTTATACCTAAGCAGAATTGTATGGCATGACACGAAAGGTTTCTATTAGTTATTTTATCTTATTTTACCTTTTTTTTTAAATATATGGGGTTTTCAGCCAAGCCTACTCTAACAGCCCAGCCCAGTATACCTCTACAAAAATCCGTTAATATTAGACTACTGGGTATCGGTAGCAATTAAGATAATAATTCTTCTTTTTCAGGTCAAATTTACGTGAATGTTGATTTACTTCGTCAGGACATGAACTACAATAATCAGTACAATAAATGATTAAAGTTAAATTTAGACGTTACTTACAATGAATTATATGTTGAAACAATTACAGGATGACATGTCATCTTGTGGATAAAATGAGTAGTCTGTGAGTTTTGGACCAGAAAAAAAGACTGAAACAATTGCGTAAGAGACGCATAAGGAAATTTTGTTTTCAAATTCAATTCCAATTGAGCATCCCAAAGAATAGCAGAGTAAGGGGCTGCTAGAAATGAGAAGAAACCTCTAAAGGGAAAAAAATATTGGCAACGTGTAGCATTTCAAGCTTACACGATACGTACGATATTTCTTTTAGAAAAACGAAAGAAAACTTTACTTTGTCCACGCTACGGCTATTTGTAATGATTAGTTTGTACGAGTCACATAAAGGAGAAAAGTCTCGAAAGTAAGTACATTTGTCAAACCGTAGTAACTGATAAAAGCACTACAACCACGATGTATACATTTGTTGTATGCGGGATTTATTGCGAAAATCTTTGAGGGCCACTTGATTTATTTTTATTGTAATGGGTACAACTTTCTGAATGCGATTTGTACGGATTAAAGTCGTGTTTCACTGCTTCAAAAGTCTCCAACTTCCAAAACGTTACCACCCGAAGGTATGCATAATATATACATCCAACGGTCTAGTTGATAAGTTAAGATTTTTTTCAACCGTGTTAATGTGAACTTACCTACAGAATTTTGTTGAGTTCTTGATCAATGTACGAAGTAGTTTCGACAACTAATGTTTATAATAATTTTGCAAATATGAGCGGAAGCATTCTTACCACCCTCCATCTCCCAAGCCTCATTACATAGTCATTAAAATAGATCTGCCAAGAGTTAATCCAAAAATCCAAAACCAATTCGTATTGATATTACGAGTAAAATCTTATAATAAACAGTATGGCATCGTTTGTGATCTGTATTCTGAGAAATTTGTAATGAATGTTCTTGTAGGTATGGAAATGGCTAGGAGGAAACTTGAAATCCTACATATCGTCATCATTTCCATATTTTACCTAAGTTTAAATGCAAAACTCTTTTAAAACAGAAGTCACTAGCAATTTCCCTACGGCAGAAGAATATCTAAAAAGGTCACACAGTTACAGTTTCCCAACGATATTGGGATTTAGGTTATAAAAAAGAAACAGCTATTCGTGCTCTTCCCAGAACTAAACAAATTGTTGAGACAAAGAAGGAGAGGCTTTTGGCCCTAATAGTTACCAAATTGTTTTTGAATCACACCATTTGCGAAGCTATTTATAAAATGTCCCAAGAACTTCTGCTATTTGTTTACAGAAGCAAGAAATACTTTTGCACTTCTGCTAGTGCAAGCATATTGTTCAAAAACTCTTTATTCAGTCATTACGAAATATATACGAACATTCCATTTCTGCAATTGCGAAATACTGACATGCATCTTCTAAGTCTATTTATCACATTTTGCGTAAACCACGGGAGGTGTTACCGAAATTATTTACCCCCCGGAGACGGCCCACACGTACCATGTGATTCATATTGCGCATCTGGAAAAAAAACAAATAATGCAAGGTCAATAACTATCTGTACCCTTACTTAGTCCGCAGCTTCGAGCGCATTCAAGAAGTCTAATATTGTTAAACGATTGCCCATTACTGGCGCAGACTGGACTGTATTGTTTTGTTACTCGAGTTTGGCACTCGGCAAAGCATCTTTGGTAAGCAGGGGTGGCGGTGGTTGTCGTTGAGCCACTAGGAGGTGTTGTTGGCTGCTGTTGCTGCTGCTGGTTGTTATTATTTCCATTAGCGTTACCAAAATCGGAATCCTCAAAAAAAATTTGCCTGGATTGTACGTGAACACAAACGACGATCACTAAAAGAAAAGACGTGAACACCCCTGCACGAAGCAATTAAGCTGAGTACCACTTACAAATAAAGCAAGTAATTGACTTCATTATCTCTCACTAAACGAACCGCTTATCACGTAATACCGCAATGATTAGGGGGAATCTTGCTTTTGCTTTTAAGTAGTTTAGGCGAAGAGAGGGAGAAACTTGTTATTAAAACGCGACCGTGACGTTGATATTAGAAGGAGTCGATTTAAATGTAATTAGTCTATCTTTGTTTCTTGATTAATTGCATTTCGTACCAGCAATACTCGTTTATACCCAAAATTTAATTATTAATTGACTTATTAATTCGCTTTCAGGAAATCGTGAATTCCAGCACGTTCCGTCGTTTCTCTGGAATTCCAATATGACAGAAGTTTGAAAATACATCACGAGGTCATGAATGTGTTGAAAAGGGCATCTAGTTGGGAAATTTCTTAACATGGACAGTCGGGATTTTACGATGATAACATGAAACGAAAATACGTTACAAATTTGATTTTAAAATATTGAGATTAGATAACCACTAACCAGTGTTTACAATAATATATGATTATGGATTCTTGGTCTTTTTGTTTTACTTTTTGCGGGTCGTTTATATTAATCCATAAAATGCAAAATTTTCTAGGAAGTTTACTTCCATTTTTTTCATGTTTTTTAACTGGTGGGTAGTTTTATGTTACTTTTAGAATCCTCGCAGATGTTAGAAGTGCAGCACAATATTGTACTCTTTATGTATTTAAGAACAAAATTGGCATACAATTTAAAAAGTGGTGGCCCGTTCAGCTTTATTAAACCATACCCAAGTAAAATGAATTGTAGCAAATAATTTTCTACGAATTTATTTGCGAGGAGAAACAAATTTCGTGGATTTGTCAGAAATCATAAAAGGCAGATGCTTGCAACCAACTTCACGCTGTCGTGCCCACGGATCCGCACATACTTTTATGTTAGATCTTGTGCTATTTACTACCGAGGAATTCAAATTTTGTACTCTCACACATTGCTGAAAATCACGAAAGCCAGACCTAGAAACAGCTGATGTACCTTTTGATCTAATTTTTTTCGCTGGTACCGCAAAATTTTGTGTCATTTATGATGGGTTTCAAGGTTTGTGCTCTCATATAGAGCGGGAAATCACAAAATACAAATGGGTAGATACAGCTAACCTCATGCTCGGATTCGGATAGTTACTGCTTTGATTTATTTAGAATTGAGATAGTACCACATGACATGCACAATTTATGCAGGTTTTATGCTATTTATTTCCAAGGATTAATATGGTTACGCTACCAACCCCATTGTTTATATTTCGTAATATTGCGCCAATTTTTAGCGCATCTTCGCCAATGGGAAAAGTTGCTATTGGAGACACATGATCTGTATCTAACCGTTGAGTGATTAATTACTCAATGATCTAACTTTACTTTTTGTTGGGGACTACAATTGATCTGAAGTTTTCTTGCGACAAAATATTTCCCTTTGTTCATTCTTCTGAGTGCGCATAATTTGTAGTGGAAGATGCGACTATTCTGAAATTTTGGTAAAGCACATTTCACCGCTTGTAAGCCCCTCGTCCCCAGCTGTGCATATGATAGGTGATGTATCAGGTCAGGAACAAGAGAGGGACAATAAATAGGGAATAAATAAATAATTTTTATTTATCCACTACATCTCCGAGAGGGGCAAAATCAAACTGATCTGGATGATAGTTTTTTTGTTTAAAGGATGCCGCCTGAAAATTTGTTGTAGTGTCTAGCCTATAAATAGCCTATAATATTGTGATCTGAATTTTTCGCCTTCGAAGCAAATCTCACAAGTGGTCAGCTAGCTTCGTCTTTAGCCAGCAGAGCCATAGTTTTTTTCTTTAAAGAATGCCGCCTGAAAAATTTGTTAAAGTGTCCAAAAAGGG